GGTGGGAAGTCTTCTTCGAGCTTCCTCCCTCCACCTCTGATCTCCCCTTCTTTGCTCCAAGTCCGTGAACGTTTCTGCTAGTGGCAGCTTGGTTCTTTGATCACCAGGCACACAGCAGACCTGTACTGGGGTCTCCATTTACTGAGCCTCTTAACACCCATGGGCCGAGGCTGGCATAGAGACAGAGTCCTCTGACCTCCTTCAGTGTGTGCAGGCCAGGCCAGCATCCACGGCCCTGGAGGGGATCCGGGCTCCAGGCCTCGTCTGCTTTGCCACCCACACAGCTCTACAAAGCACCGAGGCCGCAAAGCTGCTCGGTGTCCATCTTGCTCCTTTGGTTGAAATATGACAATTTCCTGTGCACTCTGCAGCTGGACTCAGTTTTAATGAGGTAGTCCTAGCTGCTGAGTGGTGGTTTTTATCAACCCTCTCACTGTGTGAGAAATGTGTAATCTTGGCAACTCGGGGTTACTCAGAAGCCACTGTAAATTCGGGAAGGTTGTCACCCAGTAGTGGTTGAAGTTGGCAGAGAAGCCTAGGAAGATCCGGACGAGTTCATGAACCCACACACCAAGCTGCACAGTGCAGTGCTTTCCACGAGCAAAGTCTCCGAGTCTAATTTGCCATTTTCCTGGAGCGAGCTACACCTTTACTCTGTCAGATTTCAGCATCATTGAGCTGTTTCTTCCAGGGGCTCTGGGCCACCTGCCACGGGGTGATCAGGCACCTGCAGCTGGGGACCTGTGTCAGGTAGTGGTGACAGAGCCTTGCTCCTCAGAGAGCCCCGAGAGGCTGGGCTGGTGCAGGGTGGGGATCCCCGAGAGCACCAGGGCCGGGATGGCTCCTCTCTGCCCGCTCCATCTCTGCCCTTCACATGGAGTCAGGCTCTCGCCAGTGGTTGCAGCACAGGTGGCTTCTCCTCTGCTTTGACTGCAGTTTGATTTTCCTGGTTTCAGAGTTGACAATGTGAGATCTAAGGAGGAGGCCCTTCTTGTCTTTGTCCGGAGGCTGAGGCCAGAGGAAGAAGGTGCCTGCGGTCCCCCTCCCAGCCTAGGTCCCCCAGCATTGTCCTTGGACCGTGCGCTCCACCCCCTTCCTCGCCCAGTCCCTGTGGACAGCAGGCACTGCCTCCCTGCTGCTGGAAGACTGAGGCCTGGGGCTGCCGGCTGGCTGACCCTGTCCAGCACAAGGATTGCCGGGTACCCGCTTTCCACCGGCTTCCACTGGCAGGGATGAAAGCCACACCGCGTGTGCGTCCCTGGCCCCACCCACCATCTCTGCCCCGGGGTACCTGGCTCCGCTACCACCTCCTCAGCCGGCACTGGCGGCCTGGGGCCCGCTGTTGCATGTGGCCCTGTTGGTCTCAGCCCTGCATGCAAGGCAGTTTTTCGGACCTGGAGCCTTCGCTGTGAGTGTGCGGCAGCAAGTGGGGTGTGAAGCACCTTTCAGGTACCCCGAGGTGTGGCGATGCCACTGAGCCCTCCGTGCTGGAAGCAGCCGGGAGGGGTACAGGGGGCCAAGGGCAGAGCAGGGGCTCTTCGCATCCCCTTCCTGTGGCCGAGCCTGTGGGGTGGGGTGGGTAATGCCTCATGTCCTCCGGCAGTGTAGGACCGTGTGGCCGGAGCCCACGTGGCCTACATGTGGTTGTGTGAGGGTCTCACGGGGCTGGGGAGGACAGACTGGACCAGGTCTGTGTCCTGTCCAGGACAGACCCTCTGGCCAGGTGACAGCCCAGCCGTCTGCTAGCCACAGCCCACCTGGCCGATATTCCCTTCACCTGGAAAAGGATTTCCAGTTTCCTTTTAAACTCCTGTTCCTTTTAGAATTTTATTTATGATGAGGATGTTTTACTTTTTTTTTTTTTTGGTACCGGGGATCAAACTCAGGACCTTGTGCTTGCGAGGCAGGCAGTGGAACCACTGAGCTACATCCCTGACCCTGTTTTACTTTTATATATAAAGAGGTAATGAATTTGATATGAATGCTAATTCGATTAAGGATAAGCTGGGTGTGGTGGTACACCCTGTCATCCTAGCCCTCGGGAGGCTGAGGCAGGAGGATTGCTGCAAGTTTGAGGGCAGTCTGGGCAACTTAATGAGCTCAAGACCAGCCTGGACTGTGTAGGAGGCCTTATCTCAAAAAATCAATCAACCAAACAAACCCAAGGGTAAAGAGCTGAGGGGTTTGGGAAGCAGCTGCTGGTAGAGGAGAGAGTGCTGGACTGTGAGCCCTGAAACTCCCCACCCAGTGCAAAAGTTGCCCAGGAGGGGCTGAGCAGGGCAGGCCATGTGTGCCTGGAGCCTGGAAGGTGGTAGGGAAGGCCTGGGCTGCAGGCGTTGGCAGGCCGGGAGGCCTGAGGGCAGAGGCCTAGACATGGGGCCCGGGCTTCCTCCTTGCTGCACGGTGATGGGGACACCCAGGCTGGCAGGGGCACGAGGCCAGGCCACCTGTGAGAGACACCTGCTACACAGGCAGTGTCTTGGCCCCCTGCAAGCAGGTGGAGTGGAGGAGAACGCTGAGCTTTAGAGGCAGAGCAGACTGCAAGGCCAGGATGGAGGTGTGAGGTGGAGAGCTCGCACCCAAGCCTGGGAAAGGCACACTGCGGAGTACGCCTTTCTGGATCCCTGCCGTCGAATCAGAGGGTGCATCTCACAGTGGCAGCACAGAGACGTGTTTGTAAACTCAAGCAAGTTGCGAACGCACATTTTGATAACCTTTCCGTTATGCTTTCCTCACATAAGTTTATTGTGATTACAAAAGAGCCATGGGATTCAGAAACGTAACAGTTTCAACATTTCAAAATTCTCCATCCCTTCCCAAACCACATTTTGTAAGTGACTTCACACATGCACACATGTGTGTATGCGTGGTCTCACTGAATCACACTGTGTCTGTTACACACCTGTTAGCTCTCCAGCTTCGGGGCCTCACCGTAGCCACCTGTGCCAGTCAGAGCGTAGTGTCCCACCGTCTCACTGCACTGGATTTTCCTTCTGCTCTGACTTGGTGACAGAGCAGACTGAGCTTTCTTCCAGCAGGATTTGTGCCCAGGAAGGTCCCTGAGGACTGGACTGGGAACGACTCATCCCCAAAATCCCACATGCGGCAAGCTGGTGGCGAGCAGGAAAGACAAGGGAAGGGAGCTCAAAGGGACAACAGATCACAAAGGACCTTTCCAAATTAATTCCAAATGCTGTTGCTGTGACTTTTTAGCCAAAAGCTCATTGGTGCAGGCCACATCTGAGGGTGAGACCAGACCTTGTGAGGTCAGATAAGCTTGATTTACGAAGTGTGTGCCCTCTTTAAATGTAAATTCTTTGTTCTCTTCACCCTGTGGTATCCGTTGGAAAGTCTGTCATTATTTCTTGGGAAATAATTCTGCAAGGCAGAGGGCTGCTTGCTTTGGAAGCAGAGAGAGAAGGCTGACAGTGCTCAGGCCTGTGTCTCTGACAGGGCCTGTCCCATGCGCTGACCCCGAGTTAGCCGCTGCACGGTGGCCATGTGACACATAAAAACCTGTTCAGAGTAAAACCTGAAAGGCAGAGTTGCCATTTTATTTTTACAGGTTTGGAAACTGTCATTACATAGAAAATGTAATCTATTGTAGTAATTTTTAAAGGCTTTAAATTCTTCCTGGCATTTCCTGAATTTTCAAAAATTTTATGGAATAGTAATACTAAATGTTGACTTCACATTTTGCTTACATTTTCTACTCCATTATCTCTTAGCTTGTGAGAACTTTAGGTTTCTAAATCTTTAAAGCCCCAACTTTAGTGCTTGAGGTTTGTTGAATGAATACATGTGAAGCCATGAGCTTCCATAGCATATTACCTGCGGTTCGCTGCTTTCAGTTAGTCTCATGAGCAGCGTAGGTCGGAACCTGTGGACGCCTGAGCTGCATCACCCATGCACCACCAGCCTGCTGCCCTCCTCTCCACAAGGCCCATTTGTCGCTGCCTCGAGCAGTGCTGGCCACTAGCAGATCTATGGGTTATTACTTTTACAGTGCTTTGTTGGAATGCATGTGTGTGTTTGAAAAAGGCATGTGTTGTTTCACTCTGGGGGCTACTAATTTATATTTGTATTTGTATTTGTATTTGTATTTGCACAAAGCAGCACAAGCCCTTACCATGGTTTTGTTAACTCAGCATCCCCCCCCTCTCTTTGGTAGTACTAGGGATTGAGCCCAGGATCTTTGGACTGAGCTAATTCTCAGCCGTTTATTTTGGGACAGGGCCTTGCTAAGTTGCTAATTCTTGCCCAGGCAGTATCTTGAACTTGCCATCCTCCTGCCTCAGCCTCTCCAAGTTCTGGGGTAACAGGTGTGCGCCTCCACGTGCTGGCATCTCTGTTTCATGTGGGAGGGGCTGGAGGCGAGAGACTCTGCAGACGCAGAGCTGGTTCCAAGTGTGGATTCGACTCAGATTGCTGACAGAGGTAGAGGCTGGAGAGAAGCCCAGGTGGGGAGGTGGCGCTGGAGCCGCTCCGCATGCCCAGCGCGGGGACTTGGTCTCTGTCTCAGGGTCTGGGGCAACTGTGCCTGCCTCAGGCACTGTGAGCACCTGGGAGTGCACATAGCAGGGGGCTGGGGTTTCCGGGAGATGAACCCCAGCACCAGGTCGCCCTGTGAGGAGGTGAACACCGCGTAGACCGGTGCTCTAGACACACCACGCCTCCGAGCGTGTCTTCCGGATCAGGCTCCACGCCTTGCTCCTCTCCCTCTGTGGGCCGGAGGAGGCCAGGGCGCACTGCACTGCCGAAGCAAGTCACTTGTAGGGTGGCTGGCTCTTCTCCCTCCTGCGTTTGGGCACATGTGGAGTTGCCAGCCTTCCCGAGGGGCTCCTACTGCCCCGGGCGGTGACCTCTGAGAGGTCGGAGAAGCACATGCTTCTCAGCCAGTAGAGTACGACCCGGCTAACCAGGGAATTGGTGAAAATTTTATTTGCAAAACCAGTACATTTCTTTGACTGAAGTTTTCTATTTTTCTCTTTAACTTTTAGGATGCAGAATAGACAACTGTGACTCCTGCTTCAGCAAAGACTTTTGCACCAAGTGCAAAGCCGGCTTCTATCTGCACAGAGGCCGCTGCTTTGATGAATGTCCAGATGGCTTTGCCCCCTTGGATGACACCATGGAATGTGTGGGTGCGTAGTTCCCAGTCCATTCTCTCACTGCAGCCCTCACACCTGCTTCTTGAAAATATGCGTGCTGGATATACTCAGTCTAAGGACAAATGGTTTCTCTTATTAATTACTGAAAATTATGTTGTTGCTTTTTAATTCCTTAGGAATCAAGATGCTGGGTAGTCTCATACAATGTCTTGGTTCAGTTTGTTAGTTGTATATTTGGTAAATTAACCCACTTAAGTGCTGATAGTTTATCACCTGTCTAATATGAGATATACTTAAAATAAGGTGAATGGTTAAATTAAAAATGTTATTACACTGACAGACTGCCATGAATCCCTCTCAGAAGTCCTCTCCCTCATGTCAAACACGTATCTCCTCGTCCCCGCCAGTTTCTGAAGCTGCTTGGCAAGTCATCTTTCCCGGTTGTTTTTAGTTGCACTCTTGTGGCTGCCTCAGTGTTGCGAACCCACCAAACTGTCCCCTTTCTTGGTCCTTTTGGCTTTGGGGAAGAGGCAGAAGTCGCACAGTGCCAGGTCCAGTGAGGGAGGTCGATGAGGACACGACATCGTGTTTTTATGATGCAGAAATTCCCATGAACAATTGCTCAGTGAATGTAATCAAAAGACATGGTGAGTGTTTAAAAGAAACATTTATTACAGCAAAAGACGCTCTGCCATTAATCCCCCTCAACATGCTCTCTAAATTTCAAGCTTATTTATCCCATTATTCTCAGCATGTGTCTTTTTTCATCTCCTTCCCCACCTTTCCTATTGTCTATCTTTTGTTTTGTTCCTCATTTATATTTTGGGTTTTTTCTATAAGAGAAATCATGCAATATTTAAGCTTGTATGTCTGGTTATATTTTTAATTCAAACATTCACCATTTTTTATCATTCCTTGTACATCTATTTCTTATTAGCTTAACAAATTATTAATAATCGTTAAAGATATTTTGCTTGGGAAATTAGGAGAAACAAAAATTTTCAGTCAACACCATGTTAATTAGCTGTTCTGTTGCTTATGGGTACAAATGAATAAATTTTGGTGCTCCTTGCTTGGCCATTTGTATAAAAAGTAAATTTGCTGAAAGAAGTTTTTGTGCCAAATCTATTTTGTTGATGATTGACTGCATGCTGCAAATAATTTTTACAGATAAAATGTAAATTTAGATTCCTAGAATATATTACTTAATGCATGTATATTATTTGTGAAAAATTAGGTCTATGCATCTTATACATTTCTTATATTGATGTTTGTAAAATACTATGGGGTTTTTAGGCCACAATTAAATGGTGCAGGTCTCTCAGAGACTACATGTTCGCAAACGAAGCCAGTTATAGCTGCACGACAGTCCCCTCGCCACCCGAATGTCAGACTTTATCCCTCTCCCATGGAGAGAATTGAATGAAGACTGACATTTTCTTTCCTGCTGAAATATTGCCTGAATGACCTGTAATTATATATTTGAAAGCTTACAGAGGTGAATGCATTTAAATATGAAGTTTTTGGAGAAATGTGTGAGTTAATACATGTGTGCAGGCAACTCTGTTAAAAGAAGCTCAGGGAAAGAGCAGGTGCAGAATGTTGCATTGCTTGTGACAGGGATCCGCTGCCTGGTGCAAAGGTTCCGTGGAAATGCTTGGGAAGTCTTCACAGACATGGCACAGACAGAGTCCCAAGCCCTTCCGAGTAAAGAGCTCCAGTGTCTTTGAAAAGTCTCAGAGCCAGCTGAAGCCCCGTGATGCACAGGGCTGAAGTCACCCAGCAGTGTGAGGCATTGCTTAGCGGTGAGGCTGAGAGGAGGGGACGAACTGACTGTGGCCCTTCTGCCCCTCTGCACCTCCTCGGGGTGGTGGAGCATGTGCTGCCTTCCCAGATTAGTCTTTTGAGGGGATGCAGGGAGCTCTTACCCACCTGAGAAACAGACAGCTGGTCGTATTCGTTCACTGTTTAAACTCGCAATGTAAGGCACGGCTGTAGAGAGCAAGAAGCACACAGGAGTTTCCAGGCACCTGTTGGAAAAGCAGAGGACTTCCAAGGGCATTGGAACTACTTTGTGAAGTGTCGCCCCGACCCTGGGGTAAAGTGGGCTCTGCGGTCCGTGTCTGAGGGATCCAGGATTCCGGTGTCAGCACCCTTAGGGACACTGGCTTTTGTGCCGTGCAAGGCCCCTCCGGCTGATGTGGGGCTGTGCGGCTGGGACTTCACTGCTGGGACCCGCGGGGGTGTGGGAGGCACTGTGAGAGCGGGGTGATGCTGCAGCCTGGATACCAGCTGTCATCTGTGTTTGTGTTTTCTGATGTTTATTAGAAGGATGTGAAGTCGGTCATTGGAGCGAATGGGGAACGTGTAGCAGAAATAATCGCACATGTGGATTTAAATGGGGCCTGGAAACCAGAACACGGCAAATTGTTAAGAAGCCAGCAAAGGACACCATGCCTTGTCCAACCATTGCGGAGTCCAGGCGATGCAAGCTGTCCACGCGGCACTGCCCAGGAGGTAGGTCTGCTCCTCTCGCGCTTGCTGGTGCCGGCCAGTCCCTCCCCTCCTTCCCAGGGAAAGCTGCTGAGCCACAGAGAAACCCGGAGAGACACTGGGCAGGAGGTAAAATCCTATTTGACTTATTCAGAAACAGGCGTTTCAATTGTCAAGAATATAAAGTGAACATTTCATATGCTTTCGTGATACCTTAAAATAGCTCAGAATCCATTACAAATGCGCTTTCTAAAATGAGAGTTCTAAAAGCGTGTGTTTTTTCTTTCTTGCAAATGTACCATAAAAATGAGTTCTTGTGAAATCAGGCCTCTGCAGATGTTGCTGTCTGAGGGAAGTGGCCAGCCAGTGTTCAGGGGAGAAGAGTTTAGATTAGAAAGGTTTACAGGTCTGTAAAACCATCTGCGTCGTCCCTAGTTGAAGATGACCACTTCAAATAAACTCTCCCAAACACTGGGAGGAAAAAACATTGTCCTAATGTTACCACAATTAGCTGTTCCTTTTTGTTTTGATAATAATTTGTAGAAAACAGCTACTGGCATGTGTGTGTTTATGCAGCTCTTTGTAGCAGTTGTGCTGATTTGTAGTCATTATTCTGTAATAACAGGATTAGGCCCCTTCAGAAGTCGGGGGAAGGCGCATGCCAGAATGTGATCTGTAGTGGTCACAGGGGCTTGGAAAGCAGCAGCAGCCGAGGTTTGCTGTGTCGCTGGCAGATGCCACATTGCCATGGATGAACTTGGATTTTCTAGTGCGTGAAACCGAAAAGTGAAATAGAAAGTTGTGTTTGGAAAACTGCCCTTTAAAATAATCCGAGCCTTTTTCGGCCTTCACTCTGTTGGTGCGTGCTTTTCGGTTCTCTGGCTCAGCCCTGAGGAGAATGAGTCTCCACTTTAAATGGGTTTCTATCCCCATGGCGCTGCCTCGTAGAGAATGTCTCTGATCCATGGAGAAAGATGAGACTTGGAGGACTTAAGACTGCAGTCGGCCTTTGAGAACGATTAGATCCAGATCCAGAAGCTACTGTTAAGAAAGCAGCTTTTCCTCTTGAATTAGTTTTGCTTTTCCTTACTGAGTTTCTGAAACAAAGTATTTTAGGGCCTGCTTTTCACTAACAAGGATGGTTTTGTTCACTTAAACTAGGTATTTTTTTCAGTCAAAATATAAGACAATATTTTCTTACAAAACTAATAAGCCACTTCTTGGATAGCTGAGAGCATTTAACCTGCAACCTTCTGCCGAAAACAACCCCGATGTATTCAGGTATTGGAAATACAGGCCTTCTTTGTTGTATATTGTTTACACAGTGGCCTCCCCCGTCCCTGTGCAGCCCCTTGGTCCCCCATTGTGGTTTACATTAATAGCAAAAGTTAACCTGGAAATGCTCCTGTAACCAACACGCTTATGTGTGACCAGAGCCAACACATTCCCCTCCCCTCCAAAACTCTTTATTTCGACCAGTCCATCTTGCGTGACACTTTTCTAGACATTAGCTGGGTTGCTAACCACAGTGCATATTGCATTCTGATCTTTATGCTACCAGCATTGTGCCGGCTTGCTGGCGTATACCTGCCACTGTTGTCTGTTTACCTTGTGTGTGATTTGCTAGTGACTCTCTTTGACAAGGGAACCAGCAGCAGGCTCTGGGTTGTGTTTAGGTTTTACTAAGTTTTGTGTATTAGGAAAATCCAGCCGTTGCTCTAATCACTGTATCTGTATTTTACTTTAATAAAATGAATTTTTATATGACCTTCAAATTAAACAGGGTTTAAAAGTTACATTGGAAATTTCTGTTTTATTAAAAGGGAAATAAAATGAACTAGTGATAGAAATGGCAAATTAATCTGCAATAAAATAACTTCTATTTACTAATGTCAGAAATAAAACCTACAAAATTAATTCTGGAACTGGAGCAGCAGTGGGTGAAATTCGCATAACTTCCAGGAGTCCCCCCACCTCGCCTCAGGTGGGGAGGGAAGAGTCCCCCTCTCCCCAGGGTCATGCTGATTAATGGAGGAATGAGGAGGAAAACCACTTTATCCCTTTTTACATCTTGATTTGATTTCAGTGATCTGCTTTGACAAACCATGCAAAAATGTAAGTCGTAATCAGGTTGGGAATACAGGCATTTTTCAGATCTTTTCAACATGTGTGTAGATTTTTCTCCTGTTGGAGCTGATCTTAACCTAACCGCATTCGAATGCATCCTAACCCTTCACACTCCAGCCCTGGCACATTAAAGCCAGCCGCTTTCCATTACCAAGCGGCTAGGCCAGAGGTCAGCACGGGGAGAATCGCTAGGTGTGTGAGATGCTGAGGATAAGGAAATGTTGCTTCATGGGTAGAAACAAAACAGAGCAATGACCTAGCCTTTCCCCTCAACTAGCATGTGCTTATTTGCTTTAAGAAGAATATCTGGGAATTTCTAAAGTAGCGGACTGATGTGTGCAGGAGGCGCTGTGTTCACTCCCAGACTTCTTTCAGCTCACTCATCTTTTCCCAGGTTCTGAGGAAACCGGCGTGATTTCCTGGGCCTTTCCAGCTCACTGCTCAGAGGCCTGATCTGGGATCTGGTCTGCACTCCATCAACTCCTTACTTTTGTGACCCTTGGTGGTCCCTCTTTCCTCGTTTGTCAGCTGAGGTTACTGGCCTGGTGATCTCTGAGATCCAGGGAGCTAGAAAATCCAGGAATGCTGGGCAATTGCCACAGATGTGGACACACGCAGCTTCATCCTATGCAGTGTGGGGAAGGGGCTGGACACTGCGGTGCTGACTCTGGACCGAGCTGCCCGTGGCTCATGGTGCTCCATGGAGCTTGTGCAAGGCCTCCTGCTTCGGAAAGGGTGTGTGCAGCCAGCTTTGAAAAAGATGAAGTTTATCTGTGGTGTAGGCACCAATAAAGAGACATAATAAGACAAGAAAAATGGATCACATAAAAGACCATGGGAAAAAAGAAAAAGAGGGATAGTGAGTCTAGAAAAGAGAGCAAATGACTTAAAACCAAAGGCTGTGCTTGGCCGACCCCACCACCGAGGCTGCCCGCCCCCCTTTCGTGTGCAGATCACCCCGCTGGGACCAACTCATTCCTTTCATTTAAGATCCTGAGCTTAACTGGGAGGAATCTCAGGACTGGACCATGTGGTACATTAGGCAATATCTTTATAGAAAGAGTTAACCAGACTATTATCATATATTTGAGCGACAAATGGAAAGAGAGAATCCTGGTTGCCAAGGTATGAGTTAGAGGAAGCTCATACCAGGAGAAAGTGTTTTCTGCCTGTGTGTGCAGTCTCTTGGCTTCACAGGCCTGGCCAGCACTGTGACCTCAACATGCTGTTTTCTTATCTGTTGGGGACTCTTCATGACTTCAGTGGCAACCACGGTGACTAATTTTGTTAATTCAGCCATCAGATGTTGGTTGAGTACTGTTGTGTATTGTTCATTGGTCCAGACATGGGATTTCTCACATAACACTTCACAGCCTTTTCTAGAGAGAATAATTATAATGAAGAAATAAATGGATGAGGGAATGTAATTTCATGTAGAGACAGGGCTGTGCAGGAAATGTGATAGGTCAGGGAACCCATGCATGGCTGGTGTACTGTTTTATGTAGGGAGCTCAGAAACATCATGGAGGTTACATTTGATCAGACATCTGAATGAAGATGATCCTTTGCAAAGGGAAGATGACAAGATTGTTCTAGCTATTGACATGGCGGTTACTTTTGTGACTGTCTTTGATGCTCCCACTGTGTTTTAAGGAGAAGAAAGGAGCAGAGTGCAGGGAGCAAGGATCTGCCTGGTCCATGGCCACTATGGGACGTCACTGGTGATAAGTCCAGGCTGGGCCACGGTCTTGCTGCCTAGGAAGCTCAGGCTATCCGTGCCTTCTCCTGGTTCTGAAAGACAAGGTTGAAGACATAGCCATTGTTACCCTCCAGTGAAGTACCTTGCTCTAGCTGTTTTCCCTGTACCCAAAGACAGCACACACTCTTCCACATGAATTCCGCCATCTCTGCTCCCTCTGACATGGTCCTGCTTGGGAAGCAGGGAGAGATGCCCCTGGAAGGATGTCCTTTCATAAATGCTACTGGCATTGCTTTCAGCCACTTGTCCCCGCTGAGGCCCTCTCCCCCTGTAACTTTGGAGTCACTGCTCTTCCAGATTGGAGGAAATAAGACTTCAGGACTGTTCTTTACAACCTTATCCTGGAGCCAGCTCCCAGGACACAGCCTTGACACAGCAGCCCTGGGGGGCGCGGTCCGCACCCTCGCATCTCATGCCTCTGTGCCCAGTATGGCTATTTTTATCCATTTCAGCAAGTAGACTCCATGTAGGTGATGCTCTGAGCAAGCCGGCCAGCTCTGTCTTTCTGTGTGGCTGCTGCCACTCAGGGCGACTCAGCTGTTAGGAATAACGTGGTGCAATTGTTAAGCGCAGGTCTCAATTTCTTAGCATTGTGCAAACATTCAGTATAAAATCTACTCTGTACTATTTCATTTGGAAAACAACTCATTCTTCTTGTGAAACATAACCTGATAATTATCTACTGTTTCTTTCTCTTCCAGAAGTGGTTCCTAACTTGGTAGGAAACAAAAGAAAATGCTATTTAGCAACTTAGAACCTTAATCTCTGCAAACAGGTACCTTCTAAATGGCAGCAGTAATAAGATCTCCCTCAGCTGTGTTTTCTGTGTATAAACTGACAGCACATGTGCACCAGGTAGTAGGTAATAGAACTAAAGATGGTTGCAGATTGTGTTGGATTAAACTGAGAACAGGAAGTAGGCACGTTTTCAGTAGGACAGGGTCAAGAAAATATGCTTTGGACATATGTTCTTTATTTCTCCACATTTTGTTTACATTTGGGCTGCAGTTTATGTGGTCTGCTTTATACATGCCAGCCTCAGGAGTCATTTGGAAGAGAGAGGATACGAGCAAACCTTCATTTGGAGCCATTTGGACTCTCAAGAATGTCAGTATTACAATTTTGACGTGGAGGAGCA